GATTTAAGTAGTATTATCCAGATACTCATATTCACCAATCAGTAGTATATAACAGCATCATTTATTTATGCCCTCCTTCTTGATCGCCATTTACCTTATCAAGTAGATCGATTACACACTGTTGTCAAAAAAATTCCAGTTTCCGAAGAGAATTGCGGTGCAATTCCACGTAGAACTGTGTGAATTGAGAATTTGATTCCCACTTATTTTGTCATCTTACCGTAAAAATAGCAGTTTGTTTGACTTTTTGTTCCGATTTATTAGTATTATTATTTATCCTGTCTGTCTGTCTGTTTTCGACATAGAACTTTGCACATATATGCGGAAGTTCAAGTCGTCACACTCCCTCCTTGTACCACACAAAGCAAGAGAACAAAGTACAAAAATATACATATTAGAGACAGTAAGCAGAGGTGTGAGACAAAGGAGGAGTAATAACGAAGAACAAAACAGTTTCATTGGAAATCATAAATCACAAGGAGTGGATGCATCGGCGCCAGCCATTGAGAACGATTTTGAGCCATGTCACCAATTGTTTCCAACCATTGCTGTTACCGTCCCGAGGACCCCAACCAGGAAGTCTACACCTTCCTACATGGCTGGCTTAGACTAACTTTTGTGGATTTCATTGACTGGTGAAGCCATGTTTTGGTTTGACCACCACTAGCTTTTTTCCAGCCTGACCCTATATCCACTAACATTGCTCGTCGAGGAAGGCGATGACTAGGCTGGGCATTCGTAACACATGTCCTAACCATCTCAGTCTTTGTAACTTCACAATTCGTCGATCAATTTCCCCTGTTTACCTAGAACTCGACGCCTAACCTCAATATTGCTCACCTTATTGTGCCACTTCACACGGGAGATAGAACGCAGGCACCTATGATCAAAGACAGCTAATCTTTTCATGTCTTCCACTCTCAGTGGCCAGGTTTCACAGCTATAAGGGCAGTGCACCTGCCCTTTGGTCGATAGTCGAATATCTCGTCTACGCCAGAGACGGCGTAAACTGGAATATGCGAAACGAGCCCCCTGTATCCGTGCTGAGATTTCATCAGAGATCAACCCGTTGGCACTGGCTGATGGTACTTCCCAAATAAGTGAAGCGGTCAACGTGCTCTACCACTTCACTTCCCATTTTTAAACTAGGCGTCCATGTAGTCCAGTGCTGTAACATCATCTTACATTTGACAGCACGAGCGAACCACATGCCAAATATTCGTAGATTGCAGCTCAAGGTGTTCAGAAGACTCTTCATTTTGTCAGCGTCCTCGCCTAGTAGGACTATATCGTCTGCATATTCTAAGTCAAGGAGATTATTCCCTGGTATCAAGTCAATCCCTGAGTCGCTGAAATCACTTAGGGTTAATTCCATTAACACATCTACGATGAAGTTGAATAGGAAAGGAAATAATGGGCATCCTTGACGGACACCACTAGTCGTCACCAGTTCAGATGAAAACTCGCCGTAAGCCCTCACCTGGATGTATGAGTACGAGTAGAGTGCCTTAATCAGTACAATATATTTTCATACATTTATTCCCCTTAATGAATTTGAACAAAGCAAGAACTACAGTTTTAGCAGAATAAAATGGTACCATCTTTTATTTCGTTGCCTTCTCGTCAGCTGCTTACATGGCAAAGACATTATTAAATATATCTACAACAACAATTTTAACATACTTGCACAGAGTTAAGCTTAAACAAAAATCAATCGATCAATATACTCATAGACTAAAAATATATACATATATAAATATGCAATATTAACCACTATTCCGAACAATAATAATCAAACACAATGGAAACTTTTAGCATTTCACATTCGGAGGAAAGCGAGGTGAAATTATCCAGTTACCAGGGCAAAGAAAGGCTGATAACCGCTTCTTTCTGGACGCATATCTACGATTTTCTGAACATGTACCAAAAAGCGTACGTCTAAAGGGAACAAATGCTTTAAACAGTGCCATCACCAAGCATCTTCTCGACACGGGTCATGAGGTGGACGTCGAAAAGTCATTCAAAATTATCAATAAGCAAAATAGCTCAATTCTCCTTAAGTTTGCTGAAGCCATTTCCATCAAGCGCCTAAAACCTGATTTGTGCGTCCAGAAAGAAGCGGTTATCAGCCTTTCTTTGCCCTGGTAACTGGATAATTTCACCTCGCTTTCCTCCGAATGTGAAATGCTAAAAGTTTCCATTGTGTTTGATTATTATTGTTCGGAATAGTGGTTAATATTGCATATTTATATATGTATATATTTTTAGTCTATGAGTATATTGATCGATTGATTTTTGTTTAAGCTTAACTCTGTGCAAGTATGTTAAAATTGTTGTTGTAGATATATTTAATAATGTCTTTGCCATGTAAGCAGCTGACGAGAAGGCAACGAAATAAAAGATGGTACCATTTTATTCTGCTAAAACTGTAGTTCTTGCTTTGTACAATATATTTTCTCGGAATTCCCTTTACAGCCAAGCTTCTCCAGAGAATCTCCCGGTCGATAGAATCGAATTCCGCCTTTAGGTCAAGAAATATAATGACTGTTGGACGCCGGTAGGAATTCTTATGTTCTAGAATCTGTCGGAGGGTGAAGATATGATCAATACACCCTCTTCCTGGTCTGAAGCCTGCCTGGCTCTCTCGTGTTTGTGCCTCCCGAGCACCACTTAGTCTACGCATGATTATTGAGCCTACGACTTTAGATACTATATTAGTCAAGCTAATCCCTCTGTGATTATCACAGGAAGACTTGTCTCCCTTCTTGTATATGGGGATAATCAGTGACTTACACCAACCCAATGGGACTTCTTCTGATGTCCAGACGCTCCCTAGAACCTCAGTTAATGCAGATAGTAAACTGTCTCCACCGTACTTAAATACCTCTGGAGTCATTCCATCAGGTCCTGATGCTTTGCCTTGTTTCAGATTGGTGACAGCTTTAGTAACCTTAGTTAGGGATGGAGGACCTGTGTCTATATCCCATTCGGGGAGGTGTTAAAGATGAGTGAGTAATTGAGAGGTTTCGTGTGCATTTCGGATTATGAGGGCGATTGTTACTTCCCGGCTGCCCACACCGTGGAAGTTGGCTCTGTGACCGCAGAGCCCAGGGGACAACTGCCTGAGGCCGGTCACACGCGGCCTGTTTTTCCTTGTTCGTCATTGTTTTGTGTGTCTCAGTAGCATATTTATCACTCCTGCCGTGTGACACGGCAGCAGGAAGCGCGATCGTTGTTAATCCGGGCCACGGCCGATCCGGCATGAAATTTTGTGATTTTGTATTTATCATAATGTTGGATTGGGTAACTGCTTTTTGTTTAACCGCTATTCAAACAACCTGCCTGGCATGGTAAGACCACAAGAGACATAAGTCTCAGCCAGTATAGCTTGATAAGGTCATTGCGATGTTCAAGCCCGACCACCATGTCAAGGTAGCAGCTTTCGGTCGGGATTATTTATCCACCTGGACCTCGAGGGAGAGACAGGGCTTTAACAGCACATCTGCATTTCCTCCTGTTCTCTGCAGTCCTCTAGAATCGGGTGTATGATTTTAAAGGTGAAAATATTGGAGCAATAGTCAACAGAAGATTGAGTACATCAATAGCCCCGGCCTATCCTGCAGCTAAGTTGGTTCACAACTGTTTGGTTCAGTCAAAAGTCGACAGATAATCTTCTCATGTTAAATTCAACTGTGTATACAAATTTCCGTATGTCTGAGAGGAAACTGTTACTGTTGGGAAAACAGAAAGAAGGGCACACACTTCCGATTTTCTGAACATGTACCCTAAAAGCCTGCGTTTCATGGGAACAAACGCTTACAATAGTGTCATTACCAGGAATGTCTTTGATTACGAATCATAGGAGGTGGAAATCTCGAAATTCCTTAAAATGATCTGCAGACAATATGGTTTTAGTTCTTCTCAAAATTCATCGAAGTAATCTCTTCTATCAAACGCCTGTGACCAGATTTGTATGTTCAGAAGGAAGCAGTTATCAGTCTCCTTGCTCGTCCTGATTACTGGATGTCTTTGTTCTCTCTTTCATTTGATTAAGTAATCTTTAGCTTTAATGTCGCCGCCACTCTCACTTTGATTTAGAGTGTAATTTTTCTTGTCTCTTGTTTCTATGATTTGAGTTGTACTCAGTAAATTGTCATTCAATTTATTAGCTATTTATTATCTTACACAGCTTTCGTCTTTATTACGTAACTCTTTTGCATACATTTACTTTACTCAAACTTGAACGACCTGTGTTAAACTCATATAACCGTAATTTTCCGAGCACTGTTCAACAGGTCGCGAACCTCCAGTCAACTGATATCATGTAAAATTTGCAAGTGTGTTAAAAATTCTCTGTACATGAACTTAATAATAATTTATTCAGGCTGTAAGCAGCTGATGAGAAGCCAAAAAATCAACAATGGTCATACCATTGTTGTTCTTGCTTCATTCAAAGTCATTAAGTGGAATAAATGCATGAAAATAATATATATATTCAAGTATTGGTTCGTAGAGATTTGATTGATTGATTACAGGATTTCCTCATGAGCTGACATCGGTAACAGAACCATTGGAAAACCAGCTGGGAGTACTTGAAAGCGCTGTTTCCTCCTTGGTAAACTGTGGGGACAAACACCCGCCAATGATATCAATGGCAAGTACTAGTCGCTCTATGTCTTGAATTGGCAGAAGTTGGAATTCATAGGCGGCTGGCTATTGGATCGGATCTCCGTAGCTGAATGGTGTACGAGATCGTCTTATAATCGGAAGTTCCTGGGCTAGAGAGTTGGTGGGTGCGTAGCGCTGAGTAGTTCCTAACTGGGACGAACCGGTTGTCCAATTACTTCCTGGTTGTTTGATGGTTCTCTAACCGATGTCAGCGCTCATGATGAAATCCTCTAACTAAAATAATATATGTAAGCCCCATCCCCCTGTGAAGGTACTAGCTATCAGAAGCGGAACAAGCCTTATTACTTCCACTCTCTCTATTCATTTTAAAACCCACATACACACACAAACTCACATAAAAAAGAGATTTTGAATAAATTTATAATATTTATTATTATTTTTTCTTCACCAGAATTTATTTGTTGAATAGATAGATCTCTAAAATTTTATGAACCTGAACCAAGAATATTATTATTATCCTCATCAGTATTATTGAAACAGCAGTAAATTATCATCCCTTCAAGTATCAATTATGGTTTTAGAATCTTACAAGTGTACTATTTTTTTCGCCTCATCTTTATCCTTCAAATAAAAAAAACAACGTGTGTTTTTCTGCTGAAATCACCAGTAATTTTTACGATATAATAAAATGTACTACTTAAATTGAGGATTTCAGTAGTTAATTACAAATCTAGAAAAAATCATGTTGTTGATGATGGTGACGATGGATTTAAAGTGATAAAAATCTGTAATGTGATAAAAAAAAGCAAACAAACAGAGTCTGACTGGCGCTAATATTTTATATATAATGATTGTTTTAATGTCTGTATATTTATATGTATATGTATATGCATATATATTTATAGGAAAGACGACCTTGATCAGTTGAGTTGGGGAAGAGGAGGGGGAATAAAACTTAAACCATAATCAGGAAATCATAATTCCTTACTTTTAGAAAAAGAAAATGCTTTGAACCTGCAATGTGATTACGGTTGTGTACGTCTCTCTGGGATCTAATCATCGAACATCTGAGGAGTAACTCTTTCTTGGTGAACGTAGGGAGAGAGTAAGTGAGAGAGAGAGAGAAGATCTGAGGAAGTAGAATGGATAAAAACAGTGGAGATGATATCTTCTCTCTAAGTATACACACAAACACCTTTCTTTGCTTTTATACATTGATTCAGATGCACATCTCTATGAGGGGTGTGTGTGCGCTCTGTTATTAAAGCCTCTTATTCCAGTAAAGTATACAGGAGACAGTCGACATTTGAAGAGAGGCGAGCAGAGAGAGACAGAAGAGATTCGCCTATTTATATCTTTCCATAGGATGATGTGTACTGTTTACAGGGAATCTGTTCTGTCTGCCTAATTGTTCTGAGGCAGGATTATGATTTATTATATTATAAGACTGATGATCCACAGGATTATTCGACATTCTTGCACGAATACCCATTAGTGGGGATACAGGACGTATAGGATGTGAGGATTGAATATTTGGACTTAATGATTGTCTACTAGATGCAGAATATTGATAATATTGATCTGGTTTCCTCTGGTATCGATATTGATCTGAATAAGGATGATCATCTTGTGATGGAAAGACAGATGGTGATGAACTAGAGACTAGAAGACTTGTAGAACTTCCTGTAGGCAAAACAGCTACTGAAGCAGCAGCAGCAGGAGGACGAGACGGATGAGGAGGCGGATGCTGTTGTTGAGCAGTATGGATAGATGATGAAGATTGTGAAAGATAATCACAAGATGATTTGGATTGTAGATTCATATTTAACATGGGATGATTTGAACGATCAGGATGATGATGATGATGGGATAATTGAGTTTGAAGACTTATAAGTTGATGAACTCGACTGATGGCCATGTGATAATCAGTCAGCAGTTGTCGTCCATACTAAAATAATCAGAGAGAAATCATAAAAATATTAGTGTTAAATAGAATTTTATACAATGTAATTTTACACACATACACACACATAAATATCGTTTTCTGATGGCTCAAATTATGTAAAAATTAAAACATCAAGTTGGCAGAAGAAGCATCCAGAAAGGATAGGACTTCCTTCGGGTGAACATAGAGAAAACAGATGTGGTGATGAAGACTCCTGGCCAACAGCAACAGCAACAATAACAGACAACAAGCGGCATAAGCGAGATGAGTCTAAAAGAAGCAACCTCCTTTACTACCTACCTACCCACCTAGGAAGCATTGTTTCAACTACTGGTGGACGGAACTGATGAGGATATCAAATCGTGGATTGATAAAGCAAGGTGAGTTTTCATTTCTCTCAAGTCAGTGTGGAGATCAACAGCACCACTCAGCATGAAAATAAAAAAATAAGGTCCGGATTTTCAACTGCAATGTGAAGTCAGTGTTACTGACTATACGGATCAGAGGCTTGGCGCGTCATGAGGAGCACTTTGAGCAAACTACAGATCTTCATCAACAGCTGTCTTCGCTCAGTACTACTCAACATCAGATGGCCGGCCAGAAAAGACCAGTCACAGGGATCTCTGGCAATGAACGAACCAACCCATCAGGAACCAATTGTGTAACAAATCTGCGGGAAGAAATGGAGGTGGACTTACCATACTCTAAGAAAAAAACCCATCAAGTGAATGACATCACACGGTGAGCCATCGCTCGTGCGGAACCCCAATAGAAAGCGGCAAGTTGGTCGTCAGTGCAAGGGTGACATGGATGAGGTTACGCAGAGAAGAGGAGATGAAAACATGTGGGCAGATGTGGATCCACGTGAAAACGTTGTCAGAGAACCGAACGCAATGGAGACGTGTGGCTGAAACCCTATGTTCCTCTAGGAACTAAAGGAAACAATAATAATAGTAATAAAAAAATAGAACACCATGTTCATAAGAACTTGCCGACTTTACTAGCCATTTCTAAGCAAAGAAGAAGAGGGAAGATCATTCATTATTTAGAGTGCAGCGAACCTTCAAGACTAAATTTACAATTATTAAACATTGCGCTCCCAAAAAACAATACAGAGCAAGAAAAGAAAGAAGACTTCTATAGAAAACTACAAACAGTAATATATAAGATCCAAAAGTTAGATGGCGACATCAAACGCCTAATGATATGGTGATAATCTTATTTATTTTATTATATAACTTGATTCCACACAGTATTTTTGGTACAAGTATGGAATGTTTAGTATATGATATCGGTAGCTCAAATTTAGCAGGCCGACCATTGATATCAGATGTGTGCCGGCTGGGGATTGAAACCCGGACCATGTCCATTGGTCGGCGAGAGTCCTAAGCAATGTGCCACCGAAACACAATACTGAAGTTTAGGGTAGACAACACAGAAAGAGAACTAATCACATCATGGGGCAGAAGGTTTGTGGCGAAATAAATGATGAGAATGGTTAACAATTCGCAGACTTCTGTGACTTTGAGAATCTGGCGATTAGATGTAACCGTGTACTAGTACAAGGATATATACAAGATGATATGCGTTTCATTAGATGGACACACTAAAGATCAGATAGACTTCATTTCAATTTCAAGAAAGGGGAAACGCAGTCTTCAGAACACAAAATCGAAGAGGAGAGCAGATATCGGCTCAGACGATCTCAATTAGTGCAAGGGACCTTCAATAGAAAATTGAAAACTGCCGGAGATAGACCAAAATTCATGTTTAATGCCTATACACTGAAAAACAAAGCTTCAAATGGCACCTACAATGCAGCTGTCTGGAAAAAGTCAGTGACATTAATCAATATCATAGAGGAAAACTGCATGAAGAACATTAAAACTTTCTGGGATCAATACGGAAGAAGCCATCTATATAGACATCTTGGGCAGGAAGGAAATTCAAGAGAGAAAAAAAGTAGATGTCTGTGGACACCTGAAAGTTGATACAGAAGAGAAAGGATGGTGAGAAGCAAAAGATGAACCAGTAGTGCCGAGATGAACAACCAAAGGAGAAGTTGAACTCAATCTTCAACGTGTCTTTTGATAAACTACTCGCTAACCATGCTCGCAGTCTGTGGTTCGATTCCCAAATCACTCATTCTTAACAGTTGGTAATAAGCCTGAGAAAGAGAAAACGTTGAGTGTGAAGCTACCAGAGTAACCGCTCTCTTAAAAACAGCAATACCTGGAACGAAAGGAATGTGAAACTTATATTCCTGTACTTTCTCATTGGAACATAGGGGGCAGCTTCAAGCTAGGAGCTTAAAGTTTCGGTATTTTTTTTTGTAACAGGATGGGGTTGCTAGCCACATGCCAAACCTTGCCTTTTTTGCCAGTCTTATTACTACTGACTTAGAGAGGGGTAAAGGAGTGCATCGGTGGCCGGGTATCAAAACCCCGACCACCTAAGTGGTAGGCGAACATTCTACCGCTGTATCACTGACGCGACAAACTACTACATTGCGATACCACTGCAAGACATACAAAATGGATAGATGAGAATCAACTGCATGGAGAAAAGTAGTACAGTAGAAATACAAGTGAATCTTTTACTCCTTTACGTAACACCATCGGGGATAAAAATAGGAAAAGTAGAATGTGTGGAAAAACTAATAAAAGTAAGTTAGTAATGCGGCTGAAAACAGCTCCCAAAAAATATTCAAGTGGAAACCACCGGGTCAAATCATCACCACCACCCCTTCGGGGTTCATACTGGTGAAGAGTCCAAAAACTAGGCTGACGAAACAGTTGGCTGTTCAGTACTCTCTCTCTCAGCTAGTTTTCCAATGGTTGTCTAACCGATATCATCTCATGATAAAAGTGCTGGAAAGCTTCGAAAATAATTTGTCATACATATTTCAGATACATCTACAACTCACCTTAGCTATACGTAACCGACATATCCAATGACGTAGAGCTTTCTCATCTGTAGCACAGAAGCAAAATACATGCGTTGAAGCAGGATCTTGTGCGGAATAAGGCTGAAATAAGATAAAGTGTATGCAAACACTGTTAAAGATAATTATTTATATATAATATATATATATATATATATATATATATATATATATATGCCAACAATCAAAGTAGATACTTAATATAAAGCAATAATAAGACGACGTAATTTGTCTGAATCGTGTATTTGCGCAACACATTTTGAACAATCTGATCCATCACACACGAACTTGTCATAGGAATATAAATTTATGAAATTAATAAAGAGTTAAGAGGTGAGGAAACAGACTATTTTGGTCAAGTTAAAAGGACATATTGAAGGTCAGAATAACAATTAAGATCAATAAACCAAATAACAGAGGTAGTAGTGTAACAACAGAAGACAAGGGCTGGCAACAGATCGTTTTATTACGAAAATCAACACGTATTTATATATATTTTATGTACATTAATAAGGCTTATGCAAGCAGAAAAAGGCAGTCTTCTGATTGGTTGTTTCTCGGAAGTTAAGCAGACAAACACAGTCTTATGATTGGTTGTTTTCGATATTTCTCGGAAAGTAGAGCCATCTATCTGCGAATCATATTTGTCCACGTTTAAGTTTGCAGTGATTGGTTGTTGAAACAGCCTTGTTCATATTTTATCACGGCCCATATTAGTGACCTAGACATTAACGTAGATTAGTGTCAACCAATCGGCTAGCAGCCTGCTCTCACCGCAGTAGCACACTTTTTATGGATGGATAGGTTTAAAAAACGTGTAAACATCAATTTCATGTCTCCTCTCCCCATCTATAATATGTTTCGCAATAGAAAAGCTAGGTCTTCTGTTCTAACCATTAATGGGTTCTTGGAATTCTATTTGCTTCTGAAACCATTTAGAAATATGCTCGGAAACCAGCCTTTACTTGCAGAGATCAATGAGTCTTCCCTATGTATGTGTGTCCACACGTACATTCAAATTGGTAAATACAGTTGGATGTGACATCATTTTTCGCATACTCAAAGGGCTTAGACAGATATATTGGCTTTACATTCTCTATTATTATGATATTAGCGGCATAAAAGGTGTTTTTAACAGCAGCGTTCAGTCTTTGTCTAGTTATCAAGCTGCTATGATGCTCGATACACGGTAGCTTGATGTACACGTCTTTCTTAGGGGCGAGTTGTAAAGTGAGTCTTTGTGTTCTGAATACTTCATTTTTCAATGTACGTGTGGACACACACACACACACATAGGGAAGACTCATCGATCTCTGCAAGTAAGCGCTTCAGAGCATATTCTTAAATGGCTCCAGAAACAATTGGAATCTTCAGAACCCATTAATGGTGAGAACAAGAGATCTAGCTCCTCTATTGCGAAACATATATTATAGAGACAGGACATAAAATTGACGATAACAGATCTTTTAAACCTATCTATAAAACGTGTTTTTTGGGGCGTATCCCATAGTTTGTGGAAGACCTGGCAATTAGAAAATTTAAACCAACTTTATGCATTCAAAGTAACAATTCGTCATCGCATTAAACCTTCCTTGGTAAACTTTGTTTTGATACCATAGCAGATGTACTATTACGTCTGTTATTTGGTTTAAAGGTCTTCATTGTTATTTTGACTTTGAATATGTCCTTTTAACTTGACCCAACTTGTCTATTTTCTCACCTCTTACCTCTTTATTAATTTCATATATTATTATTCCTTTGACAAGTCCGTGTGTGATGGATCAGATTGTTCGAAATGTGTTGCGCAATTACAACATCACACAATTCAGACAAATTACGTCATCTTCTTATTGCTTTATCTAAATTCATAAAGGGAATCAAATGTTTTAGATACTTTATAGGCTTATTAATAGAGCTGCATCTTAACTAATTACAAAGACACTGCGTTAGAAGCAGCATTAGTGTACTTATACTAGAATATAGCATGAGATGCGTCAAGACTTTGACATTTGGTTGCTTCAAGCTACATAGAAGAAAAATTATTGGTTTATTTAGAATCAACTATACGAATACCAAAGCTAATGAAAAATATTCCATTACAGATAAGATTTTATTTTGATAAACATAACATAGTGTTATTTTATACAGTAATATTAACTGATGACCACTTTACGAATACAATTTATTGCTGCTCATAATGATATCAAGGCACTACTCACACGACGTCCTAACTTCATTTATATAGTTCCATTGTTTTTCTCTTGATTTTCACTTGATTTGATTGGTAATATTATTTTCCATATTTACGGTATGAGTGACGAGTCATTCCTATTGCATGTGTTGGGTGTAGACTCGATGAACAAGGATTTAGTAATCAACCTCTCTCTCCACCTACCTAGATTACTTTTTAGAATTTTAACCCTCTCCCACCCTAAGAATGGTTGACCCCGAGAAGATAAGTAATTTAGAAAAAAGCTCAGCCATTGCAATGCATGCGCTAACACACAACCACACAATAGGGTGGGAGAGGGTTAAAATTCTAAGAAGTAATCTATGTAGGTGGAGACAGAGAGAGAGGTTGATTACTAAATCCTTGTTCATCGAGTCTACACCCAACACATGCAATAGGAATGACTCGTCACTCATACCTGAAATATGGAAAATACTACTACCAATCAAATCAAGTGAAAATCAAGAGAAAAACAATGGAACTATATAAATGAATTTAGGAAGTCGTGTGATTACCTCGATATGATTATGAGTGGCAATAAATTTTGCTCGAAATATGGTCGTCAATAAACATTACTGTATAACACTGTGAAACTTTATCAAAACAAAATTTACCCATAATGGAATCACACGATTGAGACTCTATCAATTTTTTTTCCATAATGGAGTGTTATCCTCTACCACCACAGTGCTAAAGTTATTTTCTTATAATAAATGGAGATCATTGTGTTACACATCATGCACCTGGGACATGGAGGAGATCGTCTGTGGAAGAAATGAAAGTATGTGTGTCAGCTAATAAAAAGACTGTAGCAGACAGAATGAAATAGAGATGAGAGAGTACTGGACAGCCGTCTCATGCTAGTTTGTTACTTTTCGTCAGTACGCACCCACCACAGGGGATTCGAACCCAGGACCTTCTGGTTACAAGGCCAGTAAGTTCGGAGACCATTAAGTCACTGGGACCCGATCCAATGGCCAGCCCATGAATTCTAACTTCTGCCAATTCACGACATAGCGCAATCTCTAGCCAATTTCTTCGGCAAGTATTTGTCCCCCCACACTCGGCTTGCTGCACCCTACTGGTCACGAATTCTCACTAGAACCCCAGGCAGCTACCTACTTGAATAGGGCAAGTCTCTAGAGAGCATCTCATCGATATTTAAATGTTGGTTTTTTTACGGATTTGATTGGTTACAGGATTTCATCATGATCTGACATTGGTGAAAGGGCCATTGGAAAACCTGGGAGTACTGAACAGCTGTTTCTTCCTAGTTCCTGGGTTCGAACCTCGGTGGGTGCCTACCGCTGAAGAGTCCCAAACTAGGATGAGACAGCTGCTCAATACTCCCAGGTTTTCCAATGGTCCCCTAACCAATGTCAGCTCATGATGATGAAATCCTTCATGCAATTATTATTTGTCACTCTTGAACATATACGTCTGTAGTTACTCATATTACTTCTTTGATATCAGTGAATACAACTTACCCTTAGAAACCTATACCTTTTAAGGATTGTAAATACGTATCAGTAAACAATTTTGTTTCACGATTAGTATTAGCTAGAGAAGCAATGAAAAAGCCAGCAGGAAGTGCTGGATGGCTGTTTCCTCTTTTGTCTTCAGACTCTCCAGAAGTACACACCAATGACCTACGAAATAACTGGGGATTGAAAACCAGCCAATGCGAACTGACAGACCATTCAGCCAATAAGATGGGATTTGATGACAGGCCTATCAATTCAAAACTCCAGCCAACATCCTCAGCGAGTATTTGTCCTCATGTAACAACAGAAGACAAGGGCCAGGCAACAGATCGTTTTATTATGAAAATCAACACGTATTTATACATATTTCACATACATTATTATAGCTTATGCAAGTAGACAAGCGCAGTCATCTGATTGGTTGTTTATCAGAAGTTAGGCAGACAAACGCAGGCTTCTGATTGGTTGTTTCGGGATTCCTCGACAAATAGAGTTCTCTATCTGCGAATCATATTTTGCCACGTTAACTTTGCTGTGATTGGTTGTTGAATCAGCCTTGCTCATATTTTCTCACGGCTTGCTCTCACCACACTCACACTCAGTTTGCGTTTACACATCGGTGGGTTTAAGATTATCAATCCTGATTAAAAGAATTTATCGACACTAAGATAGTTCACTCTAATTCTTCTTCTGATACCTACCAGTTTACGATTTGTAGGATTTGTTCCCATAGTCTCTGATGCAAAAACTTTGATAAATTGTAATATCAATCCAAAACGAATATGTTTAGCTGCCACACCTCTTTGTAGTAAATAAGCAATATTTGGTTAAATTATGCGGTAAATAGGTGAAGAATTGAGTTATTTTCTTTTCCGTAATCCTTCTGAGTACAATCTGTCGTAGAGTTGTTTGCTTGTTTGTTTGTCAACCTAACTATGATAAATATTGTGTTTTGCTTGTCAATTTTTATAATATTTCCAACAATAACGACGACAACAACAAGCACCAGTGGCAATCAGTGAGAGATATTTGAAGCAGATCATCAGTATCACTTACATAGGCAGCATCATTTCAGCTAAAGACAGGAGGTACCGGTGAGGACGTCAAAGTCAGTTAGGCAGTATCAGAAAAGCGAGATAGACATTCATTTGTCTCAAATTATTCTGGAAATCTACTGCACACAATTTGGTGAATAAGACTCCTTTTTTCCGACAATAGTGCCACACACACACTTACTTCACGCTTACTCAGATTATTCAATGATGCACACATCAATATTGAGTTTACTATGGAACATGAAGGCGACGGAAAGTTCCACTTACTCGACAATGCCATGCAACGCCTAAAAGATGGTAGTCTTCAGAACTCAATTTACCGAAAGCCTATATGGAAAACACAATACTTACATTTTAATAGTTTTTGTCCAAATAGCTTTAAACGTGGACTAGTCAAGACCCTATACTATAGAGCTAGGAGATTATGCTCCAGAGAGAGAAATTAAAAGAAGAATTTATATTTCTCGAAAATATGTTGAAAAGCAATGGTTACACTCAAAGATTCATTAAAACAGGTACGGAAGATATGAAGTCACAAATGTAAAACAAATCACAGTGGAGAAAATGCCAACCTACATTCAACTTGACTACAAAGGTGAAAATATTACAACAATTATCAACAGAAGATTGAGAACGTCACCAGCCAGAGCTCATCTTGCAGCCAAATTCGTCCCTGTCTATCGAACAATTGATCTTTTATGCCATCAAAAAACGATAGATATCCTTCTCATGTTAACTCCAACTGTATGTATATAATTTACATGTATCTGCGGGAGCAGTTACATTAGAAGAACAGGAAGATGGGTACACCTCCAATTTTCTGAACATGTACCAAAAAGCCTACATCTCAAGGGAACAAATTCTTATAACAATAGTGCTATTACCAGGCATCTCCTTGACACCACCGGTCATAAGGTGGACGTCAAAAGACCGTTCAAAATTATCAATAAGCAAAAGAGTTTAATTCTCCTCAAGTTTTCTGAAGCAGTAATCTTCACCAAGCGCCTGAAATCTGATTTATGCGTTCAGAAAGAAGCTGATAGTTACCAGTCTTTCTTTGTGCATCCTGGTAACTGGATATTTTCACCTCTCTTTCATCTGATTACGTAATGCTGAGAAGTTTTCATTGTGTATGATTATTATTGTTCGGAATAGTGTTTAATATATTATATACATCTATTGATTGATTTTTGTTTAAAATGAACTCGCTGTGCAAGTATGTTAAAATTGTTTCGGTAGATATATTTAGTAGTGACTTTGGCCTGTAAGCAGCTGATGAGGAGCCAAATAATGAAATAAATAATGATGGTACCATTTTATTCTGCGCCACAAACTGTTGTTATTCTTGCTTTATTCAAATTCATTAAGGGGAATCAATATATAAAATATAAAACCATTTGTTCAAAACTTTACGATACATATATATATATAGTATGGCATAGTTAACAAAATAGAACAAATACACACCAGGGAGCAATACTGTACTGTACTGCACTGTATTGTATTGCACTACAAAATGATACGATAAGCTCTTGAAAAAAAATGTTTTGGAGGGAAAAAAGAGTGTGTGTTTCTGGCGGCGGGGGGGGCGGGAAGAATAAATTTCTCACCTTAAAGGCAAACCCATGCGGTGTAGGTGCACGCATACGTGTCCAACCACCTGTAGTTGTATACAATTTCAATGGTCCATCCAAAACCAAAATACGAATGAGATCTGTCGACTGTGATATGTATTCACATTTAGAAGAACAAAAACGAAAGAAAGAAAGGAGGGGGGGATCAAAGACAATCGTAGTTTTTTGTTCTAAATTTTAATTGAAAGTCGAATACAAAAATTAGGTTCACAGTATGTATGTATCACATCTACATAAGATTTAATCTTTGCAAATTATTTAAAATAATCCCAGCGTGTTTAAGAAAAAAAAAGCAATCAAACAAGATCTGTCTTGCTGAACATTTCGCTGTGTAAGCTGCCACAGCTTCCTCAGGCAGTAGAATTATTCAGATTTTATTAACTGTCAAGATATATAGTCAAAAACTTTTATGTGGTTGTGTTCTCTGACCTGGATAAGTTAATTTGCGAAGCTTTCATTGTCCCACCCCTACTAGGCAACATCTTCAGCGAATACTTCAATTTCAAGTGAAGTGAGATTTTAGATTTCTACACGAGTTTGTTAGTCATCTCTCCTGGTGACCTGACCTTGAGAACGTGACTAGTTGCTTTTACGTGTTTCCACACCATCTAGTTTACTTGTGGTCTTGGTGTTTGATATATATCCGTATAATATGTGTGTTTGTTTGACAGTCTGATATATTTTGCTATGTATATATGGATCGATATTCCATTATAATTAGCCAATCATGTTAAGACTGTCTATTGATTTGTTCATTTTGAATATTCGCTCACACACTTGTTCGGACATTTATATTTTGCTCTCACACTCTTGTGTGACATATTGATTCTCCTTGTGTTTGGAAAATAGAAGTATCATCGCAAACCTAGTGGTCTTCTGATTTCCGTCTTCCTTGCGTCAGGACTATTAAATTCTCGACCAGTACATAACAGTGTTGATTGTTTCCTTGACTTGAACTTTGACCCTTTGTGTGTGTGAGGTTTCTTTCTTATCGGTTGATAAATTTTGTCTATCTCGATGTGTCTATTGATTGATGATTCACTGGAATCACAGGAAGCCTTCTAAAAGTTCTCTAGCATTCTTGTTGTTTCCTCTGTTTAATATTTGAAGGTTGGTTGTCCAAGTCGAAATGATGTCCGTGGTTATCTGTATACAGCGATATGAGCAAGACAGTGGACGTCATGACAACTGTTCCTTTTAGACATAAGCTTTTTGGTACATGTGCAGAAAATTAGAGGTGTACCCTTCTTCCTGTCCTTCTAATGCAACTGCTCCCGCAGATACATGTAAATTTGTATACACAGTTGGAGTTAACATGAGAAGGATATCTATCGATTTTTGATTGCACCAAAGATCAAGTTGTCCGATAGACAGGGACGAACTTAGCTGCAAGATGAGCTCTGGCTGGTGACGTTCTCAATCTTCTGTTGACAACTGCTGTAATATTTTCACCTTTATAATCAAGCTGAAAGTAGATTGGCTTTTTTCCTACTGTGATTTGTTTTACATTTGTGACTTCATATCTTCCGTACCTGTTTTAATGAATCTTTGAGTGTAACCATTGCTTTTCAACATATTTTCGAGAAATATAAATTCTTCTTTTAATTTCTCTCTCTGGAGCATAATCTCCTAGCTCTATAGTATAGGGCCTTGACTGGTCCACGTTTAAAGCTATTTGGACAAAAACTATTAAAATGTAAGTATTGTGTTTTCCATATAGGCTTTCGGTAAATTGAGTTCTGAAGACTACCATCTTTTAGGCGTTGCATGGCGATGTCGCAGAAGTGGAACTTTCCGTCGCCTTCATGTTCCATAGTAAATTCATGTCATGACATATGATGGATGTCATGACATCCACTCCCTCACTTAGATCACTACATACAGACAACCACGGACATCAATTCGACTGGGACAACTAGCGTTCAAATATTAAACAAAGGAAACACCAAGAATGCTAGAGAATTTTTAGAAGGCTGTCTGGTGGTATTCCAGTGAATCATCAATCAATAGACACATCGAGATAGACAAAATTTATCAAGCGATAAGAAAGAAACCTCACACACAAAGGGTCAAAGTTCAAGTCAAGGAAACAATCAACATCAAGACTACAAGTAAACTAGATGGTGTGGAAACACGTAAAAGCAACTAATCACGTTCTCAAGGTCAGGTCAACAGGAGACATGACTAACAAACTCGTGTAGAAATCTAAAAGCTCACTTCACTTGAAATTGAAGTATTCGCTGAAGATGTTGCCTAGTAGGGGTGGGACAATGAAAACTTCGCAAATTAACTATCCAGGTCAGAGGACACAACCACATAAAAATCATCCACCTGAGCTATAAGTCCACCACCTCAATATATCTATAGTCAAAAATATTTTGTACATAAATTGAAGCAGAAGGGAAACAGGAGAAAATTGAAAAATCTTGTCTATCGATCGACGACAGCCGTTGCATATCGAAAGGAGACAGCTGAAAAACTTCAAAGACTATTTGCTTCATATAATATTAAAGTCTATTTCAAGCCCTCTAATTCTTTAGACAAAGCTTTGGTGAATGTCAAAGATATGGTCACAAAAATGTCATTACAAAGTAATTGTGTCTATTGAATAAAGTGTTCAGAATATAAAGTTTTGCTTTGTGGGGAGAACAGTAGACAGGTGAAGGTCAGAGTGAATGAACCAAGGATACACACGGAGCGTCCACCTAGAAATGAAGTAGAATTAAAAAGTCTAAAGAAAAGATCAACTATAGCAATGCATGCTATCTATGCACAACGGAGATAAAATTGATTTCGACGATGTTGAAATTCTAGCAACAGGCTTTCATTCAACACATAAAGAAAGGTTGACCTCTGAAGCCTTGCACATTTCAACCACATCGAATGCAGTGAATAGGAAGGAGACAAGGGATAGACTTATCACCTGCCTATATGGCAAACTCTAATGAAGCGAGACAGCTGAAAAAACAACAAAAACCTCTATGAACCTCCATGACCACTGAAAAAAATGTATTATCATGTTTATCACGTCTTTTCCATATGACAAACAACATATACTCACTCATACACACATACAGACAAATAAGCACAGGGACCATTTGACATTAGTCATTACAAATATATGATGACTGCTTACATATTTCTATTGGTACAAATGTCTATCGACAAGGACCTCCTACAAATAAACTGACTTCAATTTATGTGAAAAATTTTTGAATATATATTTTGGTGATTAATAAAAATCCGAATAACTCCGCTGGATGAAGAAGATATGGCAGCTTACACAGCGAAACGTTCAGAAAACAGATCTTGTTTTGATTTCTTTTTTTTTACCCGTCAGGATTGTGTTAAATAATTTATAATGATTCAATGTAACTTGGCGTTCAAATTATTTCAGGAAATTTGTAACATCTACAGTCTGGAAACTTATAAGGTCTAATCTATGCAAATAACATAATGGAATTTAATCGCTGGAAAGTGACTAGCTGTGGAATCCAGGATAATGCGGATTTCCTCCTATTTGGGACTAGTCCAACAGCTGGATGTACCTGCATTCCCCAGTAAGTGGGTGATGATGTTCCCACCGAGGCTCGAACTCACTGCATATACTTTCTCAAACGCCAAAGCCTTACCCATTAGACCACTTGGGCCACGAGAGCTGGCCGCCTCTTGTGCAACGGGTCATGTTAATTTAATTTTTTAAAATTTCCCGTCGATTGATTCGACCGAAGTGTTTGATTTCAGGTTGACATTTAGGCTTCTTGAGCAGATGTTTCGATGATGTGTGGGTATGTAATTAGAGGTTAATTGGTGGATGATGACGACTACCAGTGGAATCCAGTATGAGCATTTCTTCTTATCTGGGACTCGTCAGCTGGACGTACCCAAGCACTACTACTGATTGGTGAGAGTATCAGTTAGTCAGTAGGATATAACATACTGAGCTGTAATCTTATAATACACTATCACAACAAAAATACCTAAAACCTTAAAACAACTATTTGAAGGAGTTATCACGGAGTGGCGTGAGACCTTTGTTTTTTTCTCTCTGTTTGGATTGCTGGATTCTTATAGACTGTTGATACTCTAAATGTATCCCTGAATGCATCACTGCATTTCCAGAGTCATTCTAGCTATATATACATACAGGAGTTTCTGTCTAGCACTTTGAATGTTGTTTGAGACCATAGAAGCTCTCTTATCGACGTCTAGCAGATTCTTATTTCTGTTGATTAGGACAGATCAGCCAGCGCATTAAGTTAGTATTCATTGATAGTCTTCTAGGTTGTACTTCTGGTCATGCTAGTGAGCCTGTGATAAACTTTCTCTTCCAGACATATTAGTCTGTCAATGGCTTCGGAGATAGAATGTTTGCCAATTATGCAAAGATGATCAGAGTCCGATTCACAGCTGACACACACTCCTGAATCTCTTCTAACCGGTAGTAAGCCTGGTGAAATGAAGTTGACAGGTGCTACCAAAACTTGAAGCTTCAATCTGTGAGGTCAACATTCCATTCGGAATGAAAGAAATGCAGTCACACTCAAAGAATTGTTGAATAACACTCAATTATGCGCCCATATATACACACATGTTTACACTTACCGAAAGATTTTTCTTATTCTTATTTGATGTATACAGTCCAGAACTTCTTAGAATACAAAGTCGTCGAGACCATGATTTATCACCAGGTTTACGTATAAACAAGTAATCACGCCATTCAGGAAAACCATGGCTATCAATATCATTTAACATTGTCTATTGAAAAGAAAAAAAAAACATTTGTGTGAAAAGATGACTACTATTAGTAGTTAGTACATACGAACTGTGATCAAGATTTGACCGGATAGTTGCAAAATAATTGAGCGCTGAGTGAGAAGTAGACATTTGTAAAATATTATATTTGTAAAATCTCAGCGAAATTGAAATGAGTAATTCCAACGTTTCCTGTGTTCGGCAATCTGGTCCGAACTTCTTCAGGGAAATTAATCGAAATTAACATAACAGAGGTTTATATATAAAGGGACACCTCTTGTTTTTTTTAAATTTTTGTCCAATCATGAGTCATGCAACAGGTATCAATATGTATAAGAAATAAATAAATAAATAGAATTGTGTGTTTATACATATAAAAACACATCTCTTATTTTTAAATATGAATCAATAGGTATACTAAACAAAACAAAACAAAAATTGTATGAACTATGATCAAAAACTTTTTGACCTCAGACTTTCAACAGAGCCAAACGTCTAGTTACTGAGGAGGAAGATATTAACAAGGAACTAAAATTAGTTCAATCCACTCTTTAATCAAATAATTATCCTAAAGCCTTCATAAAAAGATACTTAAATGTGAAGATAAGGATGAATCAAAACCTGCTCCTAAGAATTGGGTTAGTACAGCGGTGGTTCCTTACCGCAAAGAAAACTCCGATGAAATAAAGCGAATCCTTAACGAACATAACATAAGAGTGTACTTTCGTGCATCTAACACCTTACGCTCATTACTGGTGAAGGTTAAGGATAAAATAGAACAAGAAAACCAGCAGAATTGCGTATACCAGATCAATTGTGGTGATTGTAACGCAGTATATGTAGGAGAAACTTCTAGACAGGTAAATATAAGAATGAAAGAGCATAAACAATGTCTAAAGGTGGTTCCAAAGAGCTCTGCAAACTTGAAGAAGCTAGAAAACAACTCAGCGATTGCACTACATTCAATAGAAACGGGACACAAAATCGACTTTGATAAGACTTTGATGTTTTACAGAAAGGTTTTGGTTCATATCAAGAAAGACTGACTTCAGAAGCCCTACATATATGGGTGAATACTCAACAGTTTAAACAAATGTGAAGGTGTGATGTTAGCTGATACATGGGAAATCTTGACTAATAAATAAAATTGGATATGTATCAACAAGTAGTCACACTTGGTCAAATTCCCGATTGTCTACGTCTTCTTATGGAGAGAATAACAAATCTATAAGAATTAAATTATATTTATAAAAATGTCAATTATTTTGTAACTATCCGGTCAAATCTTGATCACAGCTCATAGGAGAACAGCAAATGTTTATGACTGTTCCACCCACCCACCCACACACACACACATACACACACACCGTTGTATCCTGCATATACTGCATATACACATATATTTTTACAAAAGTAGACAAATTTTGAAAGTCTGAGGTCAAAAAGTATTTGATCATATACAATTGGTGGATGGTGGCTAGCAGTGGAATCCAGGATGCGCATTTCGTCCTATTTGGGACTCGTCAGCTGGATGTACCTGAATTTCTCAGTGAGTGATGATGTTCCCACCGAGGCTCGAACCGCGTTTGAAACTATGGGTACTGGGTTCGAGCCTCAGTGGGAACATCATCACTCACTGAGAAATGCAGGTACATCCAGACGACGAGTCCCAAAAATAGGACGAAATGCGCATCCTGGATTCCACTGCTAGCCACCATCCACCTATTGTATACTACTTGAATACCCAGACATCGTCGAAGCATCTGCACAAGAAGCCGACATGTCAACCTGAGACCAAGCACTTCGGTCCAATCAATCGACGGGAAAATCAAAAATTCAATTCAATAGTTTTTGATCATAGTTCATGCAATTTTAGTTTTTTTTTGTTCAGTATACCTATTGATTCATATTTAAAAATAAGAGATGTACTTTTATATATAAACATACAATTCTATTTATTCATTTATTATACATATTGATACCTGTTGCATAACTCATGATTGGACAAAATTTTAAAAAACAAGATGTGTCCCTTTATATATAAACTTTGTTATGTTAATTTCGATTAATTTCCCTGAAGAAGTTCGGACCAGATTGCCGAACACAGGAAACGTTGGAATTAATCATTTCAATTTCGCTGAGATTTTACAAATATAACTTTATAAATGACTATTAGTAGTATATGAAAAAATAACATAAAATTATATTACATTGATGTGTATTCGCGTAGTCTTGGTTTGACTGGTGTCCAATGCACTTCTTCGACTTTACTCGGCAGATAATAAGCCGGGTAAAAAAAAGGCGAGGTTGGGTGTGACATTAGAGACTGTATCACGTGGAGGAAGAGCACTGTTCCTGAAACTTCCAAGTTCAAGCGTTGAAGCCGTTATATTCTACACTCGTAGTAGAAAGGGAGGAACAAGAACTATACTACGAATATAAGACTAACTAAGAGCGCGAAATGATTTACTGCTATCTAGTAGAATAGAGGAAATTGAATGACTCTATTCTGGAGCATATTATTACAGCATAAAGACAGAATTTATTCAAATTCACATATAAATTAAGGTGATGCTGTTTTCTTTTTTAAAGGATTTCGTTTACATCTCTTACATACAACCAAAGCTCCAGCCTTTCATCAAGGAAAGTAACTGAACTTTGTGTGTGTTTTAAGAAAATTTTTGTATCCACAGCCTGAATGACCGTTTTGATTTCCATTTTTTTTGCACAGTAAACTGTGTTTAGAATTTCCGGATAGCCTATTTTCAATTCAACTCATTCTTTCATCATAATTATTTTTCCTTCTATAGGTCACTAATGGAGAACTGGGCCTCAGCAATACATTGCTACTTCACTCTCTTCTCTGCTGCCTTTATTTTAGCTGGCTTCACGAATGAATACCCAACACAAGTTTTCATCTCTTCTGCAAACAATCTCATCAACCTTATACTTGTTCGGGGTTCGCTCGAAGATTTACTGGATGAAATCTTCCCACAGCTGTCTGTCTTCGCTCAATGCTACTCAAGATCAGATGATCAGAAATGATTAGTAACAGGAATCTCTGGCAATGAAAGAACCAACCAATCCAGCCGGAGCCAATTGTACAACAAATATACAAAAAGAAATGAAGGTGGATTGGCAGGCAGCACATACTGTGAAAAAACAAACCATCATGTGAGTGACATTACACACCAGGCCGCTGCTTGAGCGGAATCCCGCTGAATGGAAAGCGACGAGTTGATCGTCAGTGTGAGTATGGGATGACATGAAGGAGGTCGTGTGAGTAGGAAATGAGAGATTGTGGGCAGTCTTGGTCCAAACTGAAGAGGACGGCAGAAGACAGGACAAAGTGGAGATGTGTGTGTGTGTGTTGAAGCCGTTATGTTCCACTCGGGATTATAATAATAATAATTTCCTGAGACTTCACCAAAAACAAAAAAACAAACATAATCAAAGAAGGACTAAAACAAGACATATAAGCGAACAATATTGTTTTCAATTAGATCTTCTTCAGGCTTTACTCTAATTTACATAGATTTATATATATAAAATTTTAACCAATGACGGTGATTTAGTGGATCAAACAATAATAGTAATCATAATAATACAAATAATAATAATAATGTGGTAAATGTTTTGAACGAAGTTAATAACGATGATTATAATAATAACAAAATATTGTTAATAAGGCTTATATAGGTGATAAGAATAACAAAGTTAGTATATGCATATATGTAGACAATTCAATAAATAAATAAATTAGGTCAAATCAAATGGAACGATAATCAGAGTTTAAATAAATATCATAAAAGTACGAAGGAGAGGGATGATAAGAAAGGGTGGGAGGGTTTTGAATAGAATTCACCTAGGCCAAGGGTGGGAGAGACAAAGGTAGAACAAATTTCTTTTGTATACAAAGACTAGGATTGTTCTCTCGAATTCCCATAGCTTCGGCTTAGTGTAAAGGACGGGTTCTGATTCCGTTCAAAAGACTTGATGGAATGCGGTAAATAACTTTGAAAGTACTATTTTTGTCCACTTGGTGACCACTATCAATCAAATGAGCCAAAATAGAACTTCGTATAGACTTTATTTGACCTTTTCCGAACCATGAAGGAAGATGCTCATTAAAGCCTGAAGAAGATCTAATTGAAAACAATATTGTTCGCTTATATGTCTTGTTCTAATATTATAAATGGGAATATTTAAAGAAGGACTAACCTGAATAGCTTCAGCAGTACGGAAGCCTTGTTTATTGTTATCTTCACCAATCCAATACTAAAAATAAAGAAAATAAAAAAAGTGGAATTTTTTCAACAAAAATATATCATACCGAATATTAGCATGATTATACTAGTAATATGCGCTGCTCAAAGGGTATATACTTTCCAAACGCATCTTTGAACATTATCCAACATGGTTAACAAGAAAGTCATGAATGTCAATTAGTAACTCAATATGTAAGCATCTGGTAGAAGAGTCAGGCTATGCAGATCAATTGGACTTCACTTTTAAAAAATGGTCTAAAAAGTAAGACTGTATAGTGATACGGGTGTCATGTTTCGACACTTGTTTAAAGTGGAGGCGAGGAGGTAGCGATTCATCAATAAAAAACATCGAAAACCTTGTGCGTTGAAAAGGGTTTATTCAGACGCTGATTCTACTACGATCTTAAACATTTTGTATCATGTTTGCTTCTCTATATTTAGAAATTAATTCTTCATTACTAAGATAACACGTTCCTTATTTGTGTATCCTACTATTTGCATACTCATCCCTTTCTCACCTACCCCTCACAACTGTCAATGGTGGACATTCAACCACCTAGTTTCTAATTTGATGCAAAATTTTCACTAAATCAAATTTCAAATTTTTACGTTCATTGTACCGCTGCTGACCATTTCACAATCTCTTTTCACATATTTGTTATAGCATACACCTTTCCTTGTGTTATTGTTACTCTTTTGGATGCTGTGCGTCGGTGGTATAGCGATTCGGACGTTTGCCGACCATGCATATGGTCCGGGGTTCGACCCCCGGTCGGCGCACTCCTTTACCTCACTGAGCCAGAAATAATCCTGGTAAAGAGGAAAGGTTGGGCATGAGGCTAGCAACCCCATCCTGTAAAAATTAAACACTGCTACAGAAACTTCAAGCCGCTAGCTTGGAGCCCTATGTTCCACTGGGAACGTGAAGGAATAATAATAATTATTATTATTATACACCTTTCCTTGTATTATTGTTACTCTTTTGAGGGCTGAGAGGAACATAGGGCTTCAACAGCACACATCTCCAATTTGTTCTTTTTTCTGTTGTCCTCTTCAGTTGCCTGTGTCCACGATTCCCCATATTCTTCGATCTCCTCGCCACATGATGTCCTCTCTCTGTGTGTCACGCTGGCACCGGCCATCCATTAGTCACTTCTCATTAGGATTCCACTCGAGTGATGGCCTGCAGCATTGCGCGTGATGTCATTCGACAGTCTCCTCCTCCTCCTCCTCCTCCTCAAAGTATGCACAGTCTATCTATCTCTATTTTCTCCTACATATTTGTTGAGTGATCGGCTCTCGCCCATTGGTTTGTTCGCCGCTAGCCGGTGTTTTTTGTTGCTAATTTTTCCTGGTTGGCCGGTCAATTGATCATCATCAAGATGGAGCCAGTCAGCCAGCCAGCCAGTGAAGGGGTCGGTCGTTAACAAAAGTCTTCTGTGGCCTGTTGGAAATGCTCTTCGTGACGAGTGCACAGTGGAAGTTTCTGACCCACACAGAAGAACTCATTGACTGTCTGGCTGGCTGGCTGAGTGAGTGAGTGAGTGAGTGAGTGCAGACGATTTCCAAACTGGTTTCAGGTTGATTGATGAAGCCGTATGTCGCCTTTCTGATTCTGCCTGGCTGGATGACTATGACATTTTCATCCGTGTCGCCTGTGTTTGTGATTGAAACCGTGCGCTTCCCAGCAAGATAAATGAAGGCAGGAGATAACCTCTGTCAAGTCTTTCCTGTTCACAGTGATTGGCGCTGGTTGTTGTTGTTGATGTTACTGTTTGTTGGTTATCTTCATCACTTCCGTATCCTCTTAGTTCAACTGGAGTCCTGTATTTGACACCCACCAGTCACCCTCTTCAGCCAGTTTGTAGCCATTTTTCGCCTGCCTGCCTGCCTGCAAGTCTTCGAGTTTGTGTCAGTGATAGTAAACATACATCATCCACACGTGAAATCTAGATCTTTGAGAGTCTTCTTATTGAGGTCAGCGTGTGGTGAGAGCAGGCCGTGAGAAAATATGAGCAAGGCTGATTCAACAGCCAATCACAGCAGACTTAACGTGGCAAAATATGATTCGCAGATAGAGAACACTATTTTTCGAGGAATCCCGAAGCAACCAATCAAAAGCCTGCGTTTGTCTGCTTAACTTCTGATAAACAACCAATCAGATGACTGCGCTTGTCTACTTGCATAAGCTATAATAATGTATGTGAAATATATATAAATACGTGTTGATTTTCATAATAAAACGATCTGTTGCCTGGTCCTTGTCTTCTGTTGTTACAAGCGAAGTATATTCCTGTCCTCTCACTCCCATGCACAATCTGACGCATAATCCAGTCCACCACAATTGGGGAGACAGCCAGCTTGTCTTACTCCTGTATTAACTTTGAACGCCTTGCTGAGTGAGTTTTCTGTTGTGGACCACGTGACACTTGGGATGAGTTGAATGAGTTTGATAAAGATTTGGGCGATGCACGCCGTAGTATTGAAGCAGTTTCCCAATTACTTCTCGGTCAATGCTGCTCGTCGAGGGCCTTTTCGAAGTCAACGAAGTTGTTGGGGTAGAGTTTTGACTTCCATTCTATATGCCTTGTTCTGTGTTGACGATGCGTAGAGTTGCAATTCAATCAGTACATGATTCGCCTTTCTTGAATCCAGCTTGGGCAAAGTTAAACTTTCGACACCACTAACAACCAATCAGAAAACGAACTTGAACGGACCAATCACGTTAAAGAGGCATTTATGGTAATGGAAACGTATATTTATAGAAAAAAAGGAGAAAACGCTTACAAGGGGCATCTTTCTCGAAAATGTGAGAGAAACATCTCCCAGTTTAGCATGGGACTGTCAATGCAGAAGTCACCCCACATCCTGTACATATATTCATCTAAATAACTATAAATGAGATCCTTTTGAGATCCACTTATAGCCCTTATCCTGTTTTTCAAGCGGCCCGAAAACCCTTCAATGGAATTCGTATGAGTCCTCGTAACGGGATCCACTCAGCAAACAAGTGATTTTCTCTATTTTCTACGAAGCAATATCTTTGCAATGCTGGTACCACTGAACTGTTGAGACGAGGCTATTCTCCGGTCTCGGCAGCTGCTGCTCTCACCGGCTGTTTCAACACTCAGTGGTTGCAGATATACAAGATCTGGGGTAGGGTGAGATGCAACCTAGCAAAAAAAGTTCCTACGAAATATTAAAATTATCAACTTACTCTCTCTAATGTTAGCACGCTTCAAACGTATAGCTTAACGATGAACAAATCCATCAGTTGACCTGCTTTAGCTTTTTAAAGTCATGATACCACCACACGAACAAGTTCGCTCCTTCCAGAGTAACCCTAAATTCAGGCAATAATGGGAAACACTGTTCTCCTCGAAATGCAACCATAACCTTGTAAGGTCATACATTAGAAATGAATCAAGCGCTATACAACATTGAACTACATTCGTGAATCTCACTGGATAATTCGACGTCGTTCGCTGATTGGTAGTTAGTGGCGTCGAAAGTTTAACTTGGCCCCAGCTTGTTTTGACAGGCGAAGTGCTGCATCTAATACATCCTTTATTCTCTCCAGTATGACATGACTCAGTAATTTACTTGGCATGGACAAGAGTACGATTCCATGCCAGTTATGCAGAGGCCTTGTTTGGTTACTTGAAAAGGTGGCTTGGTGGCACCTTTCTTTCCGCCTAAACATTTTGCAATAATGGTGTGAGCATATCTACCACAGTCTCTGTATCCGTTTTCAGTAATTCAGATTGGGGAGGATTCCGTTCGGTCCTGCCACCTTTCCAGTTGGCATTCAGGATTTCTGCTTTCGTTGGAGGATTGGTCTCCACTGGCAATTCTATGCGTGTTGTTGGTAATTCACTAATGACCAATATGTGCATTTATTACTGTTCAACTGAGAGACAATCTTGACTTTAAATAGCTCAATAGTAGCATTTCCGAACGGTATCGAATATTTTACAGAGTTGGTTCATCAATTTCTCTTTTACTGACTAGTGTCAACAAGCACAAAGCCTAGGTAGGAGGTAGGCCTTCCTTGCTGATTGCCTCAAACATTTAAGAAACGAAGGCGATACAAGTGGTCTCCCACTAATCAATAATTATGCATCAATCAAGCGTATACTAACTACCACTAGACATTGTTCTGCCTCTTAGAATACTGATTAGTAATAATGAAAAGACACTGTTTAAATTGTCTGTCAGACAAACAAAATGGAAGGCATAGTTTAACATAATTATCTCTCATTTTCGCAATTGAAAGAAGAACTATCTAGCTACTTATTTTAATTAGTTAGTTCGTTAGAGTTAACTGAAGCATGAATTATGTAAAACGGATCGATGATTATGATATTAACATTTCAAAAGAAAGGAAGAAGAAATGAGGTTTGAATTTTCAAGTTTGATGACGAACTGACTGGCTAACTGACTGATCCCAGGTTAGAGAACTACGGAAACCAGCATGGAGTACTGGACAACTTTTTCGTCCTTGTATGAGACTCTTCAACAGAATGTATCTGTGACTTCTTTCGGAGATTGAGTTTAGGCCTTTCAGGTTACAGAGGGAAATCGTCCTCAGTTAGAATTCTAGAGATGGGATCATAGGGTGAGTGATGATGAGGAGTTATAGGTTGAGACGAAACCGATGTCCAGTACTTCCTGGTTTTCAGTAGGCTCTCTAATTGAAGCCAATTCGTGATCAAAATTGATATCAGTGAGATCCTTGCAATCTAACACTTGCGAATTTCAATTTACACCTAGTGCTAGTGACTTCCAATGGGAATCGTCAAGGTGCGCGAGTGTTTCATCCTTTTTAGGAGTTATCACTTTTGCATACATTACTATCTCAGTGAACGATGAGTGTTCTGACACACTGAAACTCCAAATTCCAACATCTCTATCCTTTCAACAGCCTAATTACTTCTCAGGGAATAAATTCACTAGGCTATAAATTTTGATAATCCCGGAAGCGGGGGGGGGTCTAGTATCTTTCATGTCAGTGAAAAATGCATTTCCAACAGGCTGTTGCAGGGCGTTTTGTGTGCTAAAGTTTCTCCAGCGGTTTGATAGGTTTAGTGGTGTAGGGTTGCTAGTCTTACGCCCAACCCTTCCTTTTAACGCGGGCTTGGAATCAGCTAGGAAATTAGCAAGCTGGTTAACTAGGCGAGGATTAAGCATATATCGAGGAGACTGTTGATAATATCACGCGCAATGCAGGTCATCGCTCGAATAGAATCCTAATGGGAAGCGACAAGCGGCCATCTTAGGGTTACACGAAGGAGATCATTTGAAGAGAAGATGAGAGATTGTAGGCAATCGTGGTCCAAGCTGAAAAGGGAGGCAGGAGACAGTACAGAAAACCAACCAATAATCTATCACCAGACAAATATGCTTGAACAAATGAAGGTGGATTGGAAAAAAACACTAAGGAGACAAGCCCTCCAGTGGAACCCGATGTAGTTGGGAGACAAAGGGTAGTTAGTCCTGAAAAAGTTTCGACCATTTTTTAGAACGATACATTGTTGATATTTTCCTACGAATACAATTCATATACATTTGTATTGAGTGGATAGAGGTGATTAGCAAGCAGTAAGCGCTTAGATTTACGGTTCACCAGTTATTGCCGCTCGTTAGCATTGGATATCAGTAATTCAAACCACAGGAATTCCAGCGTATTTTTATTATACTGACTAAATTCATCGAAACACACTCTTCTTATAACATAATGCAATCAGTAAATCATATTGCTATTTGGCTGACAGTAGTTGGTAGTGGAATTCAAGACACACATTTCGTCCAATTTGGGACTTATCAACTCTATGGACATAAATCCTCCAGCTAGTAATAGCATTACCAAATGAGTTACTTAAATATCAATAAAAGTAAATGTTTCTTTAAAAAACAAACTTACATCAGGTGATTCAACAAGACCAAAGTGATCAGGTCGTTCTTCAAAAAAGATCATATTTTGACTTTTTGTCGGCCAAGCCAAAATACAATCGGATAAGAGATCATGTTCTTCAAAAACTCGTTCTAAAATATTCAGAAAATAGAAAGATTAGATTAGACTATAATCCAAAAAGTGAAACTCCAACTGAAGTCAATTCTTAATTGAACCTGAAGTCAATCAAATCCCTGTAGAAAGACTTTTGGAATTTAATCTGGTGCTCACTAGCGACTAACTCACTACAGGTTGAACCCCTGTTGAAGTGGTAGTGGGCAGTCGTGACCAGTAAGGTTCACATCAAGTTTTGCATGAGGACAGATACTATCTGATGATTTGGTTGGCTGTCACATCAGATATCGCAGATCATCAGAAATCAGAATTCATGAATCCCATCCCAGCAAGTGAATGGTTAGGGAGCTCGCCTCGTAACCTGAAGGTCCTAAGTTCGATTCCTGGTGAGGACTTATGGGTGTGTATTGTAAAAGGGTCTAAAACAAGGATGAAATAACTGTCCAATTAGTCCGTGTTGGTCTTCAATGAGTTTCTAAGTAAAAAACAATTCGTGGTTAATCTTGAAATCTTCATATTAGCGTCAGGTAGTAAAAATTGGTGTAAGTTTTTCTGCAACCCTTACAAGTGAAAGTTGGCATTAAAAGCATCAAAGATAGGACTTCAGGTGAACATAGAGAAAACAGAGGCGATGAAAATTCCTGAGCAACACCAACACCAACAGAAACAACAACAGGCAACAATCAGCCAGCATAAATAGAAGGAACATGAAGGAAACAACCTCCTTTACCTACCAACCTAGGGAGCATCTTTTCAACTACAGGCGGAACTGACGAGGGTATCAAAGCAAGGATCAGGAAAGCAAGATAGGTTTTCATTACTATCAAGTCTGTGTGGAAGTCAAAACCCCTCCTCAGCATGAAAATGAAAATAAGATCCGTATTTTCAATTGTGGTGTGAAGTCAGTGCTACTATGTGGATCAGAGACTTGGCGCGTCATCGAATGACCTTGGCGGCCTGTTTGAACATTTTGGGCTACCACATTCCATGTACATTTTTGCATCTATTTACTCGTATTTTATTGGTATTTACATATCACATTATGCATTCTAATCGTATTATCCACTCCCAGGATTTTATAAAACGTTTTAAACCCAAAAACTTTCATATTTGCAATAAACTCAAGAAAAAGCACCATGGAGATTGGCAGCGTGCCTTAAAATCTACACCCATACATCACACCACTGTTCCAGTTATCATTAGTACCAACTGCCGGTCCCTGCCTAATAAAATTCTGGATTTCCAAAGAAATTACTAACGGTAAGCGATGTATTTCTGTTCCATCTCTTAATGTTGACACTCTTAATAAATCTTTCATACGCTCTTCTGTTGATACCCTTCCAAATGATACAAATCATATTGACAATAACTTTAGTGGTTTTAATACCCTTGATGTGCTTAAATGTCTCCGGTCTCTTAAGCCTTCTCAAAGCCTTGGTCCTGACGGCATACCTGCCATTGTCCTCAGGAATTGTGCTGATATTTTGTGTTATCCTCTTACTAACATTTTTAATGCTCTTTTTCCGGTAACGTTCTACCTTTTGCATGGAAAAACATTAAAATTATCCCTATACCAAAACCATCTTCTGGTTCTGATATTAAATTTCGGCCTATTGCAATTACTTCCCCCTTTTTAAAATTGATGGAAAAATTACTTTTACTTCGTCTTGAACCCGCTTTGAAACCTTTTAATGATCCTAAACAATTTGCATACAAACATGGTAGAAGTACCTTGGATGCTGCGGTTGTCTTATATCACAATGTTGTCTCTTGTTTAGACAAAGGTGCTAAATATGTTCGTAGTGCTTTCTTAGACTACACATCTGCTTTTGACTCTGTACCTAGGGGCCTTTGTTAAATAAGCTATCGTTGACACAAACAGGATCCTGGGCTAAGAGTTGGTTGCATTCCTATTTTTCTGATAGAATGCAGTATACTGTATATAACGGCAAATCTTCTTCTACCTCGCTTACAAAATCCGGTGTTCCACAAGGTGCTGTCCTCTCTCCTTTTCTTTTTTCTTTCTTCCTACATGACCTGCCTCATTCAAACGAAACTAACTTTGTCAAATATGCAGATGATCTGACTGTATCACTGCCTATCACTTCCGAGTCTGACAGCTCCAAACTTAATAGCTTTCTGTTGGACATCAACAACTGGTCCAAGTCAAATGGTCTTATATTAAATCCTTCCAAATGTCAGGCTTGACTTTACTTTCAAGCATCGACGTGACTTACTTGAACTAGTTAACTCTCATGATCCCTGTAGCATAGATGGCACGGAAATTGAAACCAAATCAAGTATTAAATACCTTGGACTAGTTTTTTCCTCTGACCTTTCATGGTCATCCCATATCTTATCTATCTCTAAGAAAATGTTTCGTCTTACCTTCTACATTAAAAAGTTAAGACAATCAGGTATCAACCAACCTTTAGTTTTGCAATTTTTAAACTCCTGTATTTTACCTATTGTACTCTACTGCTCTCCATTAATCTTTCCTGGGCTTCTCAAAAAAGATTATATCATATTACGAAGAGTATTAAATGCTGTGAGTAGAGCTTGTGGTCTGCCACTGCATGAGCTCGCTAATACTATAGTCGAGAGGCATATAAATTCCTGTACGAAATGGGCAAAGGCTATAATGTCAGACCCTCTGCACCCCCTTTATTCACACCTGTCCCCTTGTATCTCATCAGGTAGGACGAGAAGTCAATATAAAAAGATATATGCTCGTACTACTAAGTATAGAAATTCTACAATACCCTATTTAGCGCGTACTTTATGTGACGAAGACTCTGTTAGACGTGAAACTTACAAGTTACTATGTAATTAGCACAGTGAATCGACCCTTTTATCGTTCATCTTTCTGTATTTTATGGTGTCACACTTTCTATCGTTTAAATCGTTACTCTGCTATTTTATTTTAGTTGGTATTACTATTATTACTACAATTTTGTACTTTATACATATTTTTCTCCGTATGGCATACAGTATTTTGCTACGTAGCTGCTATAACAATCGTTTTATTACTATTATGTATTGTGTATTTTTAATTTTTTTTGTCGTTTTTGGTAAATTAGATGCAATATTGTACTGAATGCTGAAAATTCCTTGCTGTATCATGAGTACTGTTTTTGGAATAAAGCAATTATTATTATTATTATTAAAAAAGATCATCTCAAACAAACTACAGAGCTTCATTAACAGTTGTCTTCGCCCAATACTCAAGATCAAATGGTCAGCCAGAAAAGATCAGCAACAGAGATCCCTGGCAATGAGCGAACCAGCCAGCAGGAACCGATTGTGAAACAAATAGGCAGGAAGAAATGGAGATGGATGGCTGGCCATACTCTGAGGAAACCATCAAGTGACATCACTAGACAACCCATTTCTCGAGTGGAACCCGAAAGGGAAGCGGCGGTGAGTTGGTCGTCAGTGTGAGGGTGACTTGGAGGAGGTCATGCGAAGAGGAGATGAAAGCATGTGGGCAGACTTGGAACGGGGTTGGCAAAAAACCGAACGCAATGGAGACGCGCGGCTGAAGCTCCATGTTCCCCTAGGAATTAAAGGACATAATAATACACTGTAGAAACAGGAATAAATTTTTAAACCAGGGTTTTAAGCAGTTACGGGATAAAGTATAAGCTTGTTGGTGGTATGCGACTACTCATATCGATCAATTAATAGTATATAGCAAAATGCATTTATGCCTACCTTTTCGGTTACCATTTATGGCATAAAGCAGATCGAATATTGTAATCACCGCGAACTGTGTAAATTTTCCTGTAAGCATTTTTTCAAACTACACTTGCTAATATAACGGTGTAATCTAGCTGAACATACAAACCCTTCGACTATCCTATCCGATTACAACCACTTCAAAAGTCTGACCACCCGTTAGCAAACAGTAAATTTCATTTTCATTTCCAACGATGAAAATATTATGCGAAATTACATTTATCAATTGAAGAACCATTGAGAAAGCAGTAGACAGTGTACTGGACAGGTGTTTCGTCCTAGTTTAGAGCTCTTCAGTAATACTCATGCATTGTGGTTAATACCTAGAACTTTCCGGCTACAAGGCGAGCTCATAAACCTATCAGCTACTGGAATCTGATCCACTGGCTCATAAATTTCAAATTATGCCAATTTGCTGTCAATTACTGTCTGTGGCTGGTTTTCCAATGATTCTCTAACTGATATCGACTAATGGTCAGACAAGTAACCAATCAAATCCCTGCAAACTAACACAGGAAGAAACTATAAATAAAATTACACCTGTCATGATTTCTGTCTAGTCTAGAGAAACTTTAAATGACCAGACAGATGGACATTAACACTAATAAAATAATTAATAAGTAATTAATTAAATTATGGAAAACATGCCGGAGAAAATCGAAAATATAATAATTTTATCTGTAAACAAAAAAGCCTTTGTATATGTGATTGCAATTTAAAGGTGATGCACACTAAGTGAAATAAATAACCAACAAGTTATGATAATCGATCTAAAGAACTTTTAAAGCCCGTAGAGCTGGAACTCCTGTTATCCATACCACAAGTCATGATTCATCGGCACCCACTGGGGTTCGAACCCAACACCTTTCGATCACAGGCAAGCAAACTCATATACCATCCCAGCCACTGGGAACCAATTCACTGGCCAGCCCACGAATTCTAACTTCTACCAATTCGTCATTTGGCGCAACTGGCACCAACCAATGTCAACGGCGTGAACTCCATCCTAACACTTGGGTGGATGGATCTCACTGGTCACGACTTCTAACTACAACTCCAGGAAACTCCGTCCTGTAGCCAGCCAGTCACTAGCGAGCATCAGATTAATTTTCTATAGTTGGTTTGTAAGGATAAGATTTGTTTTTACGAGTTCTAGTCAGAAGTCGTGACCAGTGAGATCCATCCATTCAAGTGTGAAGGTGGAGTTCCCGCCGATGGTATTGGTCGGTGCCAGTCGCGATAAATCACGAATTGGTAGAAGTTAGAATTCATGAGCTAGTCAGTGAATATATATATATATATATATATATACATCGCTGCCTGCCAACAAATAAAAGGCCTATGCTCTGCAGTTTTTGAAGAAGGAGACGTATGGATATTTTCGCAGGACTTAAAGACTGTCGAACAGCTGAAAGGTGTTCGAGATCCGTCTACGAAGAGGCTGTCACTTGAAACGTTGCTGAGAGGTCGGATGACGGCAACATATGATAGTGTGAGGCGAAATACCGGCGAACACGAGCCAAGGTCATACAAACTGCTTCCCAAGTGGAAAGGACCATACATGTTCACCACGAGATGGGATTACATATATACCATCAGAAATGCAAACAAACAGAAGCTGGTGAACGTCAGCCAGCTCCAGAAATGGATACAGCAAGATAAGCAAACAAAGACGCCAGAACCAAGATGACCGAACACACTTCAGTCGAAAGTATTTGACAGTGGCGGGGGTGGAGGTGAATGTGGTGGTATAATACAGACAATGTGTTTCAACGGAATATTATTCTCACATATTCCAACGGTTCAATACTTTATTAGCAGCAGAATCCTATGTGTATTTAAACACTCTATTTCACATTGTTTAATGTAAACCAGTGGTTTGATCACTTGAAGAAAATGTACCTTGACTTCCGTGTCTTGTCTTCTGCTGTTACACTGTTACAGGATTTCATCATGAACTGAACCATTGGAAAACCCAGGAATACAACACAGCTATTTCGTCCCAGTTTCAGACTCTTCAGAAGTAAGCACCCCTCCACAGGTGGTGTTCGAACCCAAGACCTGCCTGTTATAAGGTGAGCTTGTAGACCATTTAGTCCATGAATTGAATTCCAACTTCTACCAATTTGTAATCTATTAACAATCTATTCGCCGATACAAATTCGAATTTCAATGTCAATAATTCCATGTTACTTAAAAAACAGATATGCTGTCAATAACATTGTTTCGTTAACTATTATGGATGTACAACTGCCTTATCTGATAAAGTTGTCAATAACAATAGTTCTTTGACTATTATGGATGTATAACTATGAAATCTGATGATGTAAAAGTTATTCTTTGTACACTACCAATCAATCTTTCAAAAAATTGAAAAATGATTCTTGATGTTATTCGTTTAACAGTCACCTTTTCAGTGGAATGCATAACTTCCATTTCATTTCAGTTTAAACTTATCAGTCCTTGCATTTCAGGAGTTAATGTACGGCGATTCAGTACTTACTGTGTTGAACATTACTCACTGAGCTATTAAACAATGATCCATTTCAGGGTATTAAAAATCAACGAAAGGAGATCATAAGTGAGAAAGCGTAATCAAGCAAATTGCTATACCATGATCGGTAAGGAATGCCATCAGTCATTATGAATGCATGTGCAGCTAGCTGCCGAGTCTCATATAGGATGAAATGCCTAACCAAAATGTATATATATATATATATATATATATACGAGGTGTGCAACATAGATGGCACTGAAATAGAAACCAAATCGGAAGTTAAATACCTAGGCGTCATTCTATCTGCTGATCTTTCCTGGTCGTCTCATATCTTGATGATTTCTAAGAAAATATTCCGTCTTACCTTCTACATCAAGAAGTTAACACATACATTCTGGTATAACCCAACCCTTACTCCTACAATTCGTTAACTCTCGCATTCTGCCTATTATTCTGTATTGTTCCCCATTAGTTTTTCCTGGGCTACTGAAGAAAAGCTATGCCTTATTACACAGGATGTTAAAGGTTGTCAGCAGGGTAAGCCACAGGTGCTACTTAACCAGCTTGTCAATATTCTGGTTGACAGGCACTTGGACTCATGTGAAAAATGGACTAAATCCATTTTATCTAACTCACTCCACCCTTTTCATTCACAACTCTTCCCTTGTATCTCATCAGGAAAAACCAGAAGCCTATATAGAAACTATATGCTCGCACTAGTAAGTACAAAAACTCAACCATACCCTACTTAGCTCGTGTTCCGTGAGATAAAGAAACCATTAGGTGTGAAACTTATAACTTATTAAATAGTCAGTAGAACCAATGAGTAACCTCTGTCTATTTCATGAATGTCAATTATACTATCTGACTAGTTGAACCTCGATGGGTTAAATAGTAGACTTTGAATGATTTGGTTGTTTGAACGGAGTCAAACCACCTACATTCCAAATGATCTTGGCCCCAAACTACCATTCTGTGTTAAGATCGTGGAACACAAGGCTTCAAACACCTTTTATGTGTTTACAGTGGAGTAGAGTTGCTAATCTGACATCCAACCTTCCATCTTTTTCAAGAATTGAAGGCGCATCTGCCAGAAATTGGACCCAGGACCTCCCTCGTGACTGGTTCCTAGCATTTCTACCATTGAACGGTAGACGTCGTCCTGAAGCATAACAACATATCAACCTCACATCAATTAGCATAATTCCATTTAAAGACTTCTCAGCAAAAAAAAAGCAATGAAACTCACCAATTTTTAAAGCTGGAACTTTTTCTACCAGGGCTAAGTGTATTGAAGGTTGTAAAAAGTTTTTCTCAATCATCATACTGGCGACTTCACCAGCAGTCATATGATGATCAATTAGAATGGCTTTAGTTGTTTTATCCGGACGAAAAACGCGCACAACCAGCTAAAAATATTCAATTGAAAACATGAAACAAACAAAAAGATGAATACAAATCACACTGTTGGGTTATAAAATAGAGTAGCACTTAAGAAAAATGATGGTTGAAAATCAATAAATACTCATTTCTTTACGATCTGAGAGACATAAAGAACCTCAAGCTTCTTTTTCAAGTTTCCTAGGCTTTGTGTTGCTTTCTACGGGATGAGGGTGTTCGCCTCACGTTAAACCTTCCTACCTTTCTGTGTGAATCTCCTAGGAATCGAATCCAGATCACGTGTGCATAGATGGCTAGCTTTCAATCACTGAACCAATAACGCAGTGAAAATCCATTTTTAGTCCCGTGAAATTAATAATCATAGTTACAGGATTTCATCATGAGCTGACATCGGTTATAGGACCATTGGGAAACTGGTTCGAGTGTACTGGACAGTTTTTTTCGTGATAGTTTGTGACTCTTAGTCAGTACACACCCACTGCCAGAGTTCGAACCCAGGACCTTTTAGTCACAAGGCCAGCGTAATCGTAGGTTATTAAGTTACTGGGACTCGATTCAATAGACAGACCTGTCTTCTCATTAGAACTCAGGTAAATATCTACCTGAATAGGTAGGTCCTCGAAACAATATCAGCTCATGACGAAGTCCTGTAACCAATTCAATCTATGCAAACCAACAACCGAATAATGTTCATAGTTAGTATATGCATTTAGGTGACTTATATTACATTTCCTTTAACATCTCTAACTATGTATATCAGTTTACGTGTGTAGCTACTTTGGCAGCAGAACTATGCTTTGGAGAAAGAATTGTATTATGCGAGAACATGACGATTTAGTGGATCTCAAAAATCACACAGAGTGAATGCATCTATCCTGCAATAAGAATGATTTTACGATCATACTGTAACGACAGAAGAAAAGGGCTGGGCAACAGATCGTTTATTGAGAAAATCAACAGATATTTATAGATTTTTAAGTACATTATTATTCGTCATTTTTAGCAAAAAGAAGCAACGTCTTCTGATTGGTTATTTTCTAGCTCAAGGCCATTTCTTAGAAAGTTAAGCCATCTACCTGCGAATCTTATTCGCACATGTTAAGTCTGATGTGATTGGTTGTTGGGTTCTTCAAGGTTAAGCTTTTTTCCTGTTTTTTTCTCATGACCCCGATTCGGGATGTGAACATTGACGTAAATTGTGTTGTCTACAATTTCGGCTAACAGACAGCTCTCTCATCACAATACTACACTAACAGTCTCAAGTCATTGGTTCTTATATTATCCTGAGGACATCAACCATACAGTAGACAACTCTCTGCATCGCTCAAACCAATTGTAGAAGACTTCGTGAATCAATGCCATGGTTAGATCTGACCACCACCACCACCACCTCTTAACTCTTTTTTTAAACCTAATCCGATGGTCAACTAACACTGCGGATCGGGGAGGAGTGTGTGGCTTAGCACACGAAACACGTTTGTCCTATTCCTCTCAATCGATGTAGTTTCACAATCAAATCGATGGACTTTCCCTCCTTGCATAACAGTTTTATTATTATTTCCTTTAATTCCTAGAGGGACATAGGGCTTCAGCCACACGTCTCCATTGCCTTCGATTTTCTGCCAACGTTTTCACCCCTCTCCAAGTCTGCCCACACGCTTTCATCTCTGCTTTACATGACCTCTTCCAAGTCACCCTTGCACTGACGACTAACTCACCGCCTCCCTTTCGGGTTCCACTCGAGCGATGGTTTGTCTAGTGATGTCACTCACGTAATGGTTTCCTCAGAGTATGGCCAGCCAATCCATCTCCATTTCTTCCTGCCTATTTGTTTCACAATCGGTTCCTGCTGTGTTGGTTCGCTCATTGCCAGGGATCTCTGTTGCTGATCTTTTCTGGCTAGTCGGCCATCTGATCTTGAGTATTGAGCGAAGACAAATGTTAATGAAGGTCTGTAGTTTGTTTGAGGTGCTCTTTATGACGCGCTGGCCAAGTCTCTGATCCATCCGTATAGTAGCACTGACTTCACATTGGAGTTGAAAATCCGGATCTTATTTTCATTTTCATGCTGAGGAGGGCTGTTGACCTCCACACAGACAAACAGTCTAAGCCTAACCCCAATATTAAAACTCACCATATTATACTATTTAAGATGGAAGATAAAACGAAAACATATGTTGTCAAAGTCAGTTAGCCAGAAATGCCATCAAAGATAAATAAAGAGCGAACTGTTGAGACATCTGGATATCATGACTACTTCAAAGGTGAAGTAGTTTATCGAATGTCACACGATTCGATTTCATCCGTGCTTAGATTAAACTACAGTAGATCGTGAAAAAACAGGTAAGAAGTTAAGCACAATATACAACGCTTAGCATCTTTTATGCTCCGGAAGATAATCTGTCTGACAGACAAAACTTTGGCTGTCATTTTATAAATCTTAACTTATTACTGCAAAATAATATTAATAATAATTAATAAATCGACACTAAGGACACGGTAGCAAAAAAGGCTGAATAAAACCCTTTGGTTTATAAAGTTCCAGATTTTCTTTATAGACCGCTAGAGTTTACACTTCATCCAGTAGATATAAGTGAAATCCTTTCGAACAGCTTGATCTTACCTGATATACATAAAAGGAATCTGGTCAGACGATCTTTAAGTATCTCACTCGCAGTGTCACCACCTCTAAATTCTAAGTTTAGGCGCAACAACACTTTTAACTACCTTATCAATCTCTGTATTTCTCGCATGTACTTTGCTATTGGCCTCTACGAAGCAGAGTGGACACGCGTTCTCTATGGAAGGTTTCTTTTAGTTGTTTGAGTTCATTAACAACACCATCTTCACTACAAATTCTCCGTACCAGCGTTGAGAGAGAGAGAGAGAGAGAGAACAGATAAGATTCCTTTTTCCTATCTATGGGACATAACTGTAAAAATTAGTCAGTTGTCCTGTCCTTGTCAATTTTCTGTGAACAGATCTTTTCAAAGACCCATCAACTCTCCTTGTGAGTAGCACATCAAGGAAAGACATTTTTTATATATGTCCAAACCAAGTTCACTTTAACGGTTTGAAAAAATTTGGGCATTGGCTATATGATATTCATTATAATAGAGGTTTTTGTATTTCCCAATGAATGAAAAAACAAAACGATATTGTTGTTTTTACTAACGTTTCGCTATTTAATGCTAATAGCTTTCTCAAAGTATTATTAAACCGGAATTTACAAAATCCACTCAGCATATATATAACAAAGAGTTAGGGGGTGAGAAAAAAAATATAGACTTAGTTCAACTTAAAAGGACATATTGAAAGTCAAAATAACAATGAAGATCATTGAATTGAATTTTTTGATTTTCCCGTTGATTGATTGGATGGGTACTGGGTTCGAGCCTCGGTGGGAACGTCATCACTCACTGAGAAATGCAGGTACATCCAGCTGACGAGTCCCAAATAGGACGAAATGCGCATCCTGGATTCCACTGCTAGCCACCATCCACCAATTGTACAACAATGAAGATCATTCAAACCAAATATCAAAGGTAATAGTATTGACAGCCAAAAATGATCCCAGACTAGCGAACGATGATCAAGTTAGTAAACTTTATTTTGATATCATAACTGACGTACTATTACCTTTGATATTTGGTTTGAATGATCTTCATTGTTATTTTGACTTTCAATATGTCCTTTTAAGTTGAACTAAGTCTATATTTTTTTTCTCACCCCCTAACTCTTTGTTATATATATATGCTGAGATTTTGTGAATTCCGGTTTAATAATACTTTGATGATAAAGCTATTAGCATTAAATAGCGAACCGTCAGTAAAAACAACAATATCGTTTTGTTTTTCATTCATTCATTGGGAAATACAAAAACCTCTTTCGAATCCAGGAAATGATTTCCTTCCTTCCCTCCTTGGTGAAGAGTGCCTAGTTGGCACGAAACCTAGGTCAGGTTAGGCTTCCTGTAACCACCGATTGCCTCCAACCATCTAATATCATCAAATTATTGTAAACTATGCGCATGCAGATAGACATCTCCAAATTCACGTATAGGTATAAACTGTATTTCCAAATTCGACTTAAACAAATACACAAATAGGACTTGTCTGTCATAAAACACAGATCATATAACATATTGACGCACACACACACACACACGAATATGTACTACTTCTTATGTCACGCTACTATTGCTTCTCACATTGGAATTCGTAAGAGGGAGGGAGGGATAAGATGAATGTTCTCGTTACCTTTGCCTTCCTTTTCCTGTCTTCATACAAACTGTTGATTTCTATTACGTCTTTTTACGTCTGTTAGTTAGTTAGCCAGTTAGTGAGTGAGACAAAATCGAATGCCTTTAACAACATGTGTCTCCATTTTTTATCAGAACACTTAACTGCCAGCCAATGTTATATATATTGGCGTGATAATATTCACGTGTAGGTAGGTGTATATGTACAACGTGTATGTGTACACGTATATACACATGTACCACGTCAGCCAATTCCCCTCACCGTCATAATAAATAAACAACGAAAGGTCAGACGAATCATTCCTTCCTTCTCTCTCTCTCTCCATCTCACCCACCTCTCCACAACCTCTTTTTTTCCGGGGTATTTTTGTCTTTTTCTGCTTCTTTTCTTCAGGCAATGATTCCTTACAGCGATTTAAGTGTATGTGTGTGTGGAAAAATCCAGACAGACATTGGAACCTTAAGAGGACGCGAAGGAGAAGCAGGTGGAGCTGACAAGAAAACATATGAAGTCAAAAGTGTAGACACACTCATGCATACCCACATATTCATGAATTATATTATATATATATATATATATATATATATATATATATATATATATATATATATATATATATATATATATATATATATATATATATATATATATATATATATACATAACTTATCAATATTGTTATTATTATAGAATATCGATTAGATGGCTGTATGATGACTATTCATCTCTATATGTGTACATATGTG